ATTACATGCCTTTGACAAGCACACTTGTTTTTCGACAAACTTGTCATTCCATAGGAATATTAAAATTAAAGCCACCTAAGCATAATGGTTAATATTTAGGTGAAATAAACTCAAATTCAAAAAAATCAACCAATTTATATTTATTATTTATCATTTTCGTCCAGACATATTGTTGTTCGCAGATGACTCATTCGGTGGAATAATGCATCCGTGTTTGCAAATGTCGTTTTCCAAATCACAGAGCTATGTGCTGTTAAATCAGCAAGGTTTTTGGCGCTATCCCGCTATGTCCTGTTTTTTCTTAGGCTTACTCAGCTTATCAGGCATAATTATACAAGGTAGTCTCATGCAGTCATATGTTTTCAATTTCAATTCATAAATTTGCATTTGACAGTATTCAGTTTTCAAAATTTAAATAAAAATATCTTCCTTCGAAATGTACGCATTTCATATGTTCAGTGACAAAAATTGCTAAGTTGTAACAACCATGGTTAAATCTAGAGAGCAATGTTCAACATTAAAAAATATATTTTGTTTATTTTTTTGAAAATATGCCAATATGTTGATTTTGAAGTATTGCCATCTAATTTTGGCATATTTACTAAATTTGCGTTCTCGAACTTTTAAAATTATTTTGTACTCTGAGAGCGATTTGAAATGTTTCCCTTTACTAGCTTTACTGGAACAGACCAATTATTTAAAATTTATAGATGAGTTCCAAGTTAAAAAAGTTTGCCATCATTAAATTCTCAAATAAGACTAGGCGACAGTTTGTACGTTTACAATGTAACATCAAACCTATTGGCAATAGCTTAAACCGCTACTGATAAAAAATATTGACGTTATGTAATCAGCAAACGTTTAGCTTTTTTGTTATGTCTCATGGCATAATTACAGAAGGTGGTCTCATTTGAGAATTGGATGATGACAATCATTTTTAATTTAGAACTCATCTATAAATTTTAATTTACATGAAAAATAAATTTCATAAAATTTTATGTATGTCGGGGTTGGCATATTTTAAATAAATTAAAAAATATTTCTAAAGCTGAACATTGCTTTAGAAATGTTTCAAAAATGTTGTTGTAATGTAGAACCAAAAGAAATAAAAAACCAAATTATAAATGAAAATCTCCAAATTTCGAAGAGCTTGTTTGGCAATACTTTTATTACCATTTTCTACAAGAACTTGTGTAAAAAAACTTATGAATCTGTTTGTTTAGCAAAATATTTTTGACATATCAAAATACAACAACCTATGTTTGTTGTAGAAATTCGCCTATGCGGCTAACTTGTATATCTACCTTGGGCAGTACGACTACATATTCATATTTCGTTGCCGACGAATAATCAGCCGAGCCATGATGCAATAATAAGGTGATGTATCAAAACAAAAACATTTGTTTTTGTCTCGATTATGTGTCAAACATTGTTGGCAACATTGCGCATCGAATACAAGTAGAAATTATCCACTTTGACAGTTAATCAAGAAATCAACTGCGCTAAATGGACTACCTATTTGTTGTGCCATAAGCCGAGCGTAGTTTTTATGATTGTGTGTTGCCAACGCAGAAATTAAAAAAATGCATTTAATTTTCTGTGTTGTTATTTAATATAAATTTGTCAAATCGTAACCAAAAACTGTCAATAGTAGTACTAAAAACTAAATTATATATTAAATAAAACTCTTTAGCAAGTATTACTAATTGTATTTGCTCGAAAAAATGAATTTATCACAATTGCGATTTTTAATTCTATCATATAATTTTTAGAATTTGAATGGGCAACTCTGAACTCGAAAAATTCTCTGCTTTTGTTTGCTAAAAATCTTGCTAAGCTGCCACAGTCAAGGTGCTTAGTCTTCATTGTAAGCTTTGGTTGTTAGTCGCGTTGTCAATTGTGTTGTAGTTGTTCATTGCTATTTTCTAGCTGCTGACAATATGAATAAGCTTAAGTTATGCTTGCTAAACTTTTTTGTAATGTCTTACTATTTGTTGCAGTTGTGCATGGCTGTGCTGCATATTTTGAGGATGAATTTAGCTAGCAATGCGGTAATTTTCGGTGTTTTTGCTATTTTGGCGTTAGCATTATAAACCCTATTTACTGAAGTTTTAAATAAAAAAAGAGGACTGCTCAAAGAATTTGCATAGTTTCAAAATGTAATCTTATTTGTTTGGGAAGACAGAGGAAAGAAATAATAAATGAACTCAGTTAAAGTATGATTTCCAATGTAATAAGATTAATAATAAAAATAATTATAATAAATAATGATAATTTTTCATATATCGCAAATATATTTAAATATTCGGCAATAACGATCGTGAATAGCAAAATAAAACAAAATGATCAGCTGCGATATAGAAAACACCTCTACACCACACTACATGAGTTATCATCCAAATTCTACTCTCCTACAATGAACCAACATTTTCAACTGTTTTCACATGTTGTTCGTTTTTAACAAGGTCTATATAATAGGCCATCCAGTAAGGACAGCTGATATCTACATATTTGGAAAAACAATTCAATTGTTTACGAAAATAGTGTATGGCGACCAATTTGTGTTGTGCGGGCTTAAAAATGTGGAAAATAAACAATAATTTCCAAATATGATTTACGTTCCATCTACAACTTTTGACAATAGATGTACGTGCAGTGTTGTACCTTTGAACGAATTCGCCTTTTGGATGACCTGATATTTGGGCCGTGGCTTTTATATTCAGTAGTTGTCAAATGCAAAAACGAAAGAAAATAACAATTATTAACATAATAATACGTATTTGGATTTTCCAAACAATCCAAACAGTGCACTATGGCTAAAATAGTCCAATTTGGAATGTAGAATTCTAATGATTGTGATACATTTGGTCTAGTTCTTCGGTTAGCCCCCTTATAACGGGAGGCGAATTTGAAGTCTTCATTGACTGTCAATTTTACTGTTTAAAGAATAAATAAACAAAAAATATTTTTATTTGAACCAGGTGTACCATTGTATGGGGACAACACGGAAATATGGCCAAAACAAAATTATTTTTATATTTATTATTTTTAATTTGCTCCCGTGGGGGATTCCCTAAGAAACGTGAATCAATATTAATCGTGTTTAGTAGGAAGTTTTAACACCCCATAAGAACCTGAAAGATAAAAATACGCGAATTCGGTCGAAAATAATTTCGTATAATGAAGTTTACCATTATATGGGAAATTGACCCCCGAAACATGGGTCAATGTTGATAATTTTTAGTAGGGACATTTCCCACTCAATGAAAATTTAATATTTTCATTGAGTGGGAAATGTCCCTCCTAAAAAATATCAATCTTTGGATCTATGGAGCTTTCCTAAAAGGTGGATCAATATAGATAACTTTTAGTAGGAAGTTTTTCTATCATACCACAGCACAAAATAACAAATTACATCCAATTAAAGTGAAACATGTGTACAAAAACTTCGAAATACCGAATATTGGGGGAATCTTTATATGGGAGCTTCTCGGAAACATGAGCAATCCAATTAAAGTGAAACATGTGTACAAAAACTTCGAGGTACCGAATATTGGGGGAATCTTTATATGGGAGCTTCTCGGAAACATGAGCAATATTGACCATTTTTCGTAGGAAACATGTGTAAGGGGGTACCGTTATATGGGGGCTATACCAAATCGAGGACAAATGTTGGTCATTTTAGGTAGGAAGATTCGATGCCCAATAAGAACAAACGTAGTAAATAACAAAAATTCACAATCATTCGAAGGACTTTCCTATCTAGAGTAACTTCGGGTAATGTGGACCACCATTTTCTTTTTTTGATATTGTGGGCGTAACAACGGTAAAAAATAAAAACAAATTGTTTTCCCAACATAGTAGATTTGTTGGCTACATATATTCCAGGTCGAACATTATATATATTTGTCCATAAAAATGTTATTGCATTATATTTAAAAAACTCTAAACTGCGAATAAAAATAACTTGGCGTGTAATGTGGACCAGTATGTGTGGGTAATGAGGATCAGCAAGTTAAAGGTAGATTGTGGATTGGTTGTGACAAATTTTAATTTATTGCACTCTTGGGTAACAATAAATGCAAAAATATATCGGTTAATGTTTTGGAATAGCCCCCATATAAGGGTACCGCCCCATTTGCGGTATTTTGAAGGTCCTTGCTTCATTATCCAACCGAAGCACCTTTAATTTCGCATATCGAGTTTTCAGAGGATAGAATACCGCCTCGCATATAAAATGCGCCCATTTTTCGAACTCGTCCTCATGAAAATGTCCCACTTTTTTATAGTGGTCCACATTACACGACATTGAATATTTTTATTTAAAAATAATTATCGGCTTCAAAAAACTATAAAAATTAAAAAATCGACGATTGTAATTACAGCTAAAACGTATATTTTTGTTAAAGAAAACAAGAAAACCACATAACTTCTTCATATTCGAGAAAAACAAAGTGTTCGACTATTTTGCAAAAACGTTCGACTATTGTGCTAAAAAATTTTCAAATTACACTTTTACAATGAGAGCTACATTTTTTACTACTAAATTTTCAACATTGCAATTATTTATTAAAAATCAAGTTTGATGTTTGTTTTCACTAATTATGAAAACATTTATATGACATATTTCAAGCATTTTCTTAGATATGGGGGGTGGTCCACATTAGACGCCCGGTCCACATTACCCGAAGTTACTCTATTTTCTCCACTTTGTTATATTCGGCAGAACACTTGTTTGCGCTGCAGTTGTTGCTCACTTTATATTATTTTCTGACACAGACAGACGAACACGCATAAATCGACACATAATTTTATGTTGATCAAGAATGTACTTTGTGGAGTCTCCGATGTATATTTCGATTTGTTGCAAACGGAATAACAAATTTCATATACGCTCCAATTATGATGGAAATAGTATAAATTTGTATCAGGGATTCAATAGCCAAAACATTTGATAAAACTTCTTTTTTTTGTATGTATAAACATATAGGATAGCTTACCTTTGTGTTGGGGAATTTATTGTATCGAGCACAACTTATTGCATAGCCATTCGAAATAGATCCGCCAGGACAAAATATGCCGTCACCGTAACCATTATTGGCAAATCCAACTATTCGACGCATTTCAGATAACACTTCTTCTTCCATTAATGTGAAAACTGGAGAAACTTCGTATGTATATACACTAGGATTTAGTGCATCTGTTAGCCATTGACCAATTAGTGCATATGGATCCACACCAGAATATAACTGATTAATAAAATACGGATGACCCGTCTTCACTGAATATTCGATTGTTTTTTTTATTATTGAAAAAAGGTTGTCATGTGATTCAGCATCCTGATTTAATTTGAAATCAAATAGTCGCTTCAGATCCTCAGGAGAATGCCATTCCACAACTCTGTTTGAACGCGTAGTTCCACCATAAACAGCTGATTTTATTATTTCGTCAACACAAATCTGCATAAACCCCCTAACTTCCTCACTAGGGTGACTTGGAATTAGATGTTTCTTCATTTCTTCCATTTTGCAGCTTAATTCATTTACTTTAGATAAAAACGATTTATTCGCGTATGCTTCCGTTAAATTTGTACTATAATTTGTAGAATTCGCCATGACATTGACATTTTCGTTCGCTATTGAGAGTTAAGAACCATTTGATTGAAATTCAAAAAGGAAAAAATACTTTTCTTACATAGAACATCAACGTGTGCCAAGTTTTGCTCTTCGTACTCTGCAGATGCCACTTGGTCTACCTTTTTAAATATAGATTTATCGTACCCATGTGAACCTTGATGTTGGCGATGATGATGATGACTGTGGTGAAGACCATTTATACTTTCGCTTGCAATCATTTTTTATTACGAAATATTTTGATTCAGTGTAGAATATTGAATGAATTAAGGTATTCACTGCAATTCAGATGCAATCCAACTGTAACCATTGTAAAACAGCGGTAGCTTTTATAAATACCTTGCCATTGAAACCGTAAGATAACAAGAGTCATAAAAATTAATTATGTGAATGTCACTGTGTATATCGATATGTGTTGTTTTATTGTATGCACATTATAAATTGAAACTGTTGAAATGTACATACAAACACTACAACGTAATATTCCCATATAGCTTTTATGACGTAGTGAAGAATTAAATCTGTTGTGTAAACTAAACACCTGCGAAGTTAAATATAAATGAAATGCATTATGGAAATATATGAACATCATCAAACAGTTATTCTCAAATTTATTGCAATATAGGTTTATTCATGTAACAAAATTAACGCCAATTAACGTAATTACAAATTTTATTACAATAATTATTTCAAGGATGGTGAAAGTAATGTTCCAAAAAAAAAAAAAAAAAATGGTGGTCGGTGGCTAAGATATAAATTAAAATTCTGTAGATGTGGCAAATGATTGTTATCATTCATGAAAATGTGATTTTAAAAAACAATTTATTAGTTATAGTTTCTTTAAATAAGAAGTATGGTGTTTCTCTAAAAGGTCTACAAAAACAAAGCTCAAGTTCTTTGAGCAATGTGCTGCGTTTGAAAACTTTCTTAGAGAAAGGGTTGTATCACGTGTTCAATTGCTTGCCACAGGTGGTTCGTTAAAATGTTACAAGAGGATGTTCATGGTATTTAATGTTTATAACTTGTTGATATTTTATAGGCTTAGTTTTACATATTTATATGATTATATATACAGTAAATTTTACGCTTTTGGAATATGACATGTACTGTTGTTTATCAATTGATACAATTGAGTGATATACTGTCAATGCTAAGTTTTTGGGGAAGACCATGTACTGAAATCGCTCACGGCGCCTTGGCATAGGTTCTGATTGATTTAAATTAATTGAAATTGGAATGTTGTCATATAGAGTAAGTTAAAGGGACGTGCTTTACTTTAAAAATTTTCAATTTTCCGAATTCGGAACGAAACTCTGCACACGTTTCTGGTTCTGATGCTGAATTTGTACCGAAATCGGAACAACATTGTTTGTAGCTGCCAACGAATTCGGAATGTTTTGTCGAAAAAAATCGGAAGGAACATTCTAAACGAATTCGTAAAGTAACTTCGAGACCAAAACACGAAATTTTGAGGGAATTTTCGATTTTCTGCACAAAATATTCGAAAATGGGCAGAAATTAGAGAGATTTTCGGACAATTTTTAAGAAGTTTAAATACAATTAGAGTTTTCGATAGGGTGCTGAAATTTTGCATAGGTTTGTCTTTTGTCTGCAGGCAGGTCAAGTTCGAAGATGGGATATATCGGTCCACGTTTAGGCATAGCTCCCATATAACAGTACCCCCAATTTTCGGTGTTTTGGGGTTCTTGAGCTCGTTTTTCAACCGAATACGCTGAAATTTGGTACATTGAGTTCTTATTGGGTACTAAATGCCTCCACAAAAAATTATAAATATAAGTCCACATTTTTCTATATGATTTGTTCCGTATTTGGGTTTGTTTCTAAGATTCTGTTGTAATCATTTCATCTGCGGACGATACGAAAAAAACTAGAACATAAGGTTCGATAATTAACCTTATATATATATAGCGAACTTAAGGCTTTTTCACTTGTTTCCCCCCCCCACACAGCACACAAAAGATCAACATCAAAAACCATTTGCTACTACTACACACACACACAAATAACCAAAAAATCAAATTTATTAGTCCACTCGATTTCACTATTAGAATGAACTCTTACTCTATTTCGAATATTTTCACTCTCTCTTTTTCTTCAACCAGGAGTACTCGCGAGCACTCCCAAACAAAATAAATGGGTGGAGAGTATACCCCTTAAAAAACTCTTACTCTTAACGTATTCTCACTCGGGAGTATTTTTCACTCGCGAGTAAAATCGGGGAAGTTTTTTTTTAGGTTTTACATCTATAAATTGGTATGAGATGAGATTTACATTACATTAAAGTAGTAATCTCGCGTTAACAATTCATAATAAACTTTTCAATTTTCAAAAATCACCCAGGGAGACCAGCTGATAATCGATACCTCTCAAGTTTGCTGTCAAAATGCATTATTGTGAATTGACTTCCATTATGAAAATGTAAACAAAGTCAAAATTTTTGACATTAGACTTGAGAAAAAACAGCTTTTCCCGGTTTCGATTGCTATCTTGGAGACCTTATTCATAGATCTTGGACAAGATCTTGAGAGTTATCGATTTCCAGCTTGTCTCCCTGAGTGACCTTATTTATAGGCCATGCTATAATCCATAGCCTATAAATAAGGTCACCAAGGGAGACCAGCTGATTATCGATACCTCTCAAGTTTGCTGTCAAAATGCATTATTGTGAATTGACTTCCATTATGAAAACGTAAACAAAGTCGAAATTTTTGACATTAGACTTGAGAAAAAACAGCTGTTTTCCGATTTCGATTGCTATCTTGGTGACCTTATTAATAGATCTAATAGTGAAATCGAGTGGACTAATAAATTTGATTTTTTGGTTATTTGTGTGTGTGTGTAGTAGTAGCAAATGGTTTTTGATGATCTTTTGTGTGCTGTGTGAGGGTGAAACAAGTGAAAAAGCGTTAAGTTCGCTATATATATAAGGTTAATTATCGAACCTTATGTTCTAGTTTTTTTCGTATCGTCCGCAGATGAAATGATTACAACAGAATCTTAGAAACAAACCCAAATACGGAAGAAATCATATAGAAAAATGTGGACTTATATTTATAATTTTTTGTGGAGGCATTTAGTACCCAATAAGAACTCAATGTACCAAATTTCAGCGTATTCGGTTGAAAAACGAGCTCAAGAACCCCAAAACACCGAAAATTGGGGGTACTGTTATATGGGAGCTATGCCTAAACGTGGACCGATATATCCCATCTTCGAACTTGACCTGCCTGCAGACAAAGGACAAACCTATGTTGAGGGTAGCAGTGAGCTAGTAGACGGCAGCTGGAATTAAGGAAAAGGGACGGGCAGGAGATTGGGGGACAACATTCCGATTTTCTCGGCATAAGCAACAGACAAGCTAGGCAATATATATGCCATAGCCTGTACAGTTCATGCCTGAAACATAAAATGACATAGTTAGCCAACGAGTTTCAGTTAGGCAGAGTCGACTGTAACGCTGGCTAACATAATTGGGTACCTTAGCCCAATCCGAATATTTTAAATACCTGAGGGTGACGGATACCATCCGGGCATATGGTAGAAGAGCAGGAGTCCAAATTGTGGGCACCACCTGGTTTTCAAGCCTTATCTCCTGGTACGCATCACATGATGCAATTTTCATGAGGGTGGGAAGACGTGTGCTCAGCCGGTGCTTTGAAAGCTAGCAAAATTGAATTGATTTTTCTTTTTTCTGCCCACAATCATTTTTTTCGCCTTAGAGTGCGAGCAGAATTTATTTGCTTGTTTGGGGGGTTTCTTTTTTTTATGCCCACAAAATTTCAATTTTTATATTTGTCCGTAAATTTTTATTGATGTTGATACCACCAGTATCAAGTGGTGGTATGAAAACAGCTGTTTGTGGAACTTGTTCGTTTTGACAGGCCAGTGTTGGAAAGGTTGTGTATTGGAGTTATGTGTTGGGTAGGGGTATAGAAGAGCGTGCGTAAGAGAATTACGCACGTAAAATGAGCCAAAAAAATATGAACATTTCAAGGCCATGCGACCATTGAACTTGGACCGTTGTTCAAGCATGAACATTTTGTTGGTAATAGAGAACCATTCTAAGGGCTCCAGAGAGTATGATGTTCTCCAATAAATAACTTGAGAAAAGCAACCAATGATCGTGAGTTTCTACGCTGGAGGATATGGCGATACAAATTATTTGCTCAGAAGTCGTGGAAAAAGCAGCAGCTCATTTCTACTTGATTAGTAAAAAAATAATAAATACACACATATATATCACATACGGTTAACGATTAAAGATTTGGAATCATTGAAACCCGTTTTAAATTTTGAAACAATTTTAAAGTTTATTTTAATTTTAATAATATACTTTGTAATTAAATTCATTGCATTAGGGATCTACTCTTATACAAGGCAAGTTAGTCCATTAGAAATAATTACTAGGAGGAGCTCTAACTGGTGAGGAATTTCTAAAGTAGGACATAACAAATTTAAGGTTAGACCCAGGCAAATTTTCAAATTCATTTTTTTATCATTTTCCAATGTGTTAAAACAAAAACAATGCATTATAAAATATTAAATTTAATTTTGTAATTTTAAAGTATTTTTTATTATTATTAAATATTTGTAGTTGAATCTGAAAATAAAAAGAAAACAAATTTCATGAAAGAAAATTAATATTATATGAATTAGTATGTTTAAGAATTTTAATATGTAATAAATGTAAGATTAGCATTGAAAGTGATGTGTTAGTTTGTCTTGAAGGAAGGGGAAAAGGGATAAGGATGGATATGTAGCGGCAAAGGAATATATGTCGTTGGTGCTAAAAGAGGGGTTCTGAGGAACATTAGGTTGGGTGGGTGATGAAGGGGGCTAGTATTCTAGACCCCCGAAAATGTTGGTTATTGGTTCAAATTGTTTTAGTATGTTTAGTCCATTTTGTTGCAGTTTTTCGTTTACTTGTTATGCCCTCAAGTGTCATAGGGTTGCTGAACCACGACCCATTTACAAATTAGCCGGGACCGACACGTTTTGAAGGAGGAAACATAACAGTAATGGCGCCCAATGAAAAAAACAGGTCAGAGCCATGGTTACCCAATAACTGTGGTGATAAAAATAGTAAAATTTTGTTTTTGTAATTTTCCGTCCAGTGATTAAAAGGACGTGTTACGTGAAAGAGAAACTTATAAGTATTTCTATAATTGTTCCTTTCAAGTTACAGAAACAAAACCATATC